GGAAAAAAAAAAATACCTTCCCCCCCCCCCCCCCGTGCTTCCTTTTTCCCCGCTCTCTTATAAGCCAATGGATACTTGTTGTACTAAATGCAGCTGTCAATCAAATGGGAAGAATGAACAGAGGATGGGACTGGGAGGAGCCACAAATAGGAGTTCGTTGTTTGGGTTTACATACACTTTAACTCCTTTTCTAATGGCCCTTTAACGGTTGGGTTTATATTTTTTAGCACCACAGTCTTTCTGGGGCTTCCCGATAATTTGATCACGGTGATTGGCTGTCACAGTGATCGGGGAGCCCATCCTACTGGCTCCTTGATTCTCAGTGACAACACAGTCATAGGGCTGGGGGGCGTGCGGTTGAGCACAAAACAAGAGGCACATATATGTGGAAACGCTGAATAATGCCCACCTCCGTGCGGCCACATATATGTGTACAACTAACAGAGCTGCCCGATCATTTACAGGGATTCAGCGTGCATCAGACGAGCTCCCACTGGCCTCCGGAGGAATAGAACAGACTCCAGGTGGTTCACTGCAGGTAGTAGACTGAATAAAGAACCTTGTTGTGCCTGGCTCTAAAGCTTCAGGAAGAGGCCAGTCCCTTTACTCGCAGAATTACTTTTCCCACCAAGGACTGAACCTGTTACTGGTGTCACTAGTTTCTCATACCTCCTCCTCCTCCAGGCGTCTCAGGGTTTCCGTGATGAATTTGATGTATTGGCTGGTCAGGGTGGTGAGTTCGCTGTATTTGGTTCGGAGTTCCACGTACTGTAAGAGAACAGATAGAAGTTGTCATTCAAGGCTGGAAGCCATTACTCAGAGTTTCCCCATTATCGCTCATAGTCCCCCCACTGTCACCATCTCAGGTGTGGGTGCTCCCATGTCTGGGGTCCGCTCCTCTCCTCCCAAACCAGTCCAGGTACCATAACAGAAAGCTGCGCACCACTGTTCCATATGGCATGAAAACAACCTTGTTGCTCCAGCGGTGTGGAGGACATCCCACTCAGCTCCTCCAGAAGAGTTGGGTGGAGTGTCCTCAATAGTGCTGGAGCAATAAAGTTCTTATATTCCTTACAGAATCGGTGTGCGGCTTCCTATTGGGACACGTGGATTGGATGCCATTGTTGCATCCCTGGAGAACATAGTGAAGACTCCTCGCTGAAGCAACAACAGTTAGCAGAACGTGGGCTCCACCATTTTGGAAAGTGAAAAAACCTTTGTTCCCATGGAGAGGCAAAGGTATGGTGGTAGCAAAAGACCACATGGGGAGGCGTTTTTAATGGACGGAAACAACCAGGTGATACGAGCAACACCCATTTTGTGCAAAACCGGCCCCATGCAAAACAGGTGCACTATGACCTTAAAAGGGCCAAAGACTTGGGACCCAACATTACCAGTTTTGTCCATAGTTCATCAAATATAACACAAGAACTCCTATTGCTTGTATGGGATGCAAAGGAGGTCATGTGTTCCAGGTACGCCTATGATTGTACATATATAGTAGTGAAGACCGCTATGACCAGAGGACCGAGAACCTCTTAAGAAGAAAAGCTCTACCGATGGGCTCACCTCCTGGATAATGTTATCAGACGCAGAGTGCACTTTAGGTTTCTTCAGCGGAGACACAACTGGTTCTACCTGAGCTTTATAGGTCACCAGCTGGACCTCAAAGTCCTAGGAAAAGGAAGAAGAGTTTAACTGCATGTCTACTAAGGACAGATAATAACCTTATATACAGTATCTTGGATTGATGAAGGTGGCACAATGTATACTGAATTGGCTATATCGCTCTGCAAGATGTATATCAAAATCTCTCCAAAATCAATAAAAAAAAATACTCTTTACAAAGAAACTAAATGGGACAATTCTGATATTGAAATTTTTGTTTCCGGTGGAATAAAAAGCAAACCGCTATCAATAAATAATATCGCCAATAATGGTGTAGACTAGAGTATATGTAGGCTTTCCCAAGGTGCCTGGAACGTTAAGAATTCAGCCAGAGCCATATTTAAAGCTTTTATTTTGCCTTCCCTGGCCAGCTTCTTAAGAGTGCTAGTTGCCTTGCTCCTATAGCTGACCTCAAGTCTACTTTAAGTCACCAATCTGGTTCCTATTGGTCATGCAATCTGCACACTCTTTAGCCTTGCTGAATAAAAGACCAACAGTAAGCGATGGGGGTATAACTTGCTGGGTTACCTTGATGGCTTCAATGTATTGCTTGGCATATTTCTGACATTCATCCACTTTTCCACGGTTTTTCTCACTTTCCTCCAGCAGTTTCTGCAGGTGATAAAAAATGATACTCATCATAGGAAGGTACATGCTGTACAATGTATCCTATAACTGCCTAGATGTATCTAATTATACTCATCACAGGAAGGTCTATCCTGTACAATGTGTCTTATCACTGCCTAAACATATCTAGAATTATACTCATCATAGGAAGGTCTATCCTGTACAATGTGTGTTATTACTATCTAAACGTATCTAGAATTATACTCATCATAGGAAGATACCATCCTGTACAATGTGTCTTATTACTATGTAGATGTATCTAGAATTATACTCATCATAGGAAGGTCTATCCTGTACAATGTGTCTTATTACTATGTAGATGTATCTAATTATACTCATAATAGGAAGATACCATCCTGTACAATGTATCCTATAACTGCCTAGATGTATCTAATTATACTCATCATAGGAAGGTCTATCCTGTACAATGTGTCTTATTACTATGTAGACGTGTCTAGTTATTACTCATCATAGGACGAGACCCTCCTATACAATGTACTTACTGCCTAGATGTATCAAGAATTATACATTTTGTAGGAAGAGACCATCCTGTACAATGTGTCTTATTACTATGTTGATGTTACTAGTTATACTCATCATAGGAAGAGACCATCCTGTACAATGTGTCTTTTTACTGCCTAGAATTATCTAGAATTCTACTCATGAGTCACAGAAAGTCACATGCAGTTTATATTGCGGAGACTCACCTTTTCTTCCATCAGCTGCTCCTTGACAGTTTTGCTGTCGGTAATGGGCACATTCTGGATCTTCTCCTGCCTCTTCTTGGCTTCGGTTATCCAGCGGATGAGCCACTCGTAGCTCTCCCGGTAATATCTCAGCTGTTTGCCTAGTTGTTCCAGTTCTCTCTGCCGTACTTCAATCTGAAGGACGATGGCCTGCCAACGCTCCAGAAGCAGCTGCACCTTCTCCCGATATCTCTCCAGATCAACATCTCGTTCACTGTGAACCTTCAGCATCCTCTCGCTCACCTCCCTGGCCTTGGTGAGATCGTTCTCCAGACCATTGAAGAGAGGCTGGTGACCTTCTACCTGCCCACGCATTCTCTGCAGCAAGAAAACCATTACGGTGATGAACGCAGAACAAGGAAACTCCATCCACACCATTGGTGACACACCCCAGCATTATAAAGTGAAAGTCTTATAGCAAGCCTGGCTCATTGCAGGGTATACAAATGTATACCAAAAGTATCTTGGATTTTAGAACGGTCTTATCCTACCCTATGATGTGTGTAGGCCCCCTCTGAATGAATAGAACACCCTAAACTTCTGAGGAACACCAACTTGCCACAAAGAGGTATGAAAAATATGCGATTGCTGCTGTGGAAGTTGTGGCCGTTGCCCTGACACCCTCTGTAGGCCATAACTCATATTTTGCCCTAGGGGGTTACCTCCTAGGAATCAGATATCTGCTATGAACAGATCACCACAACTCAACCTGAGGAAGATCCCCAAAACGTTACACACCCCGTTCTGTCCCAGGAAAGACTGCAAACTCTAATTCAAATCTTTCTATCCTCCTAGCTAGGAGTAGTGGCGTGTCCCACCAGGGGCCCATCCAGCCAGGTCTTACCTTCAGGTCTGCCTTGCTGCTCTCCAGCTCTTTGAGGTCTCCAGGAACAGTTTGAACTTCCTTCAGCTGATCTTCATATGTTTTCACAACCTCCTCAGCGCCGTGCGTGTTTCTGATCACCAAGTTTATCGTCTTCAGTCTGAAAAGCCAAAGAAACCCATCAGACCCAGAAGGCATCTTCCCCAAAACAGGACAGCAAGTAACTTCACAACGCGATCACATTTTGGCATAAGAACTTGTCCCCAAATATTCTAATTTATCTTTTTTCCTGGTGGGTTTCTCTACTGATCTGAGTCAGTTAGTTGTCCTGGCAATTGAACAGCATTTATAACGCGCTTTCCATGGCATTGGAATCTGACAAAGTCTTGGAGTCTCAGCAAAGACAAATCATCATTGAGGGAAAAGGACATGTGGCTGGGGAGCTACACTGACTGGCAAGTTCTATCCGGACCTTATCCTCACCACAATACTTGTCATCCGGAGAAAAATGGACAGGGAGAGGTGAAATGGTTGACTTTTTACAAGTCTAATGTCTCAGAATAGCTTGGACTGGGGTAGGAAGTTCATGAGAACACCAGTACAAAATCTGTTATGATCATGTACAAAGCCTTACGCTGCAAGGCTATTCCCTATTACGCTATTCTGCTGCCTCTACGGTCTTCATAAACCAGAATTGATTTTCCAGAAATAATATCCCCAATATTGCATCACTTCTTATCCACAGTCGGCTTGGTACGTACTTATCCAGGTAGATGGAGGACATGCTGTGGACTTGTTCCATCTTGTGCAGAGTCACGTCAAGCTCGGACCGCAGGAGCGGGCCCGAATCTCCTAGGTCGGGCTGGGCCAGTACCTTCCGGGTCTTGTCGTTCACCTTATCCAGGTTCTTCTGGATGGTCTCCAGTTCAAAGTTAATTTGCTAAGGAGAGATAAAAGACAATTAGATTGAGCAATAATCAGCACTCCAAAATAAGCTTATTAACCACTTCAAGACCAGGTGTTTAGACCGCCTTCCTGGCCAGGCCATTTTTCAGTGTTCAGCGCTGCAGTACTTTGACTGACGTTTATTCCGTCATGCAACGCTGTGCTGAAATTAATTTTATACCATTTTTTGGGGACAGATAGAGCTTTCTTTTGGTGGTATTTAATCACCACTGCGGGTTTTTATTTTTTATTATAATTAGGAAAAATTACAGAAAATTTTGAAAAAAAAAAAAGTTTTTTTTTACGTTATGTTAGGAAACATTTATTATTACCCAGTTTTTTGGTAAAATATAAAAGTCGGGGTCACGTTGGGTAAATAGACACCAAACATGTCAAGCTTTAAAATTGCGTGCACCCGCAAAATCGCAGAAAACTACCATACCCAAAATTGGCCATAGGCGACACTTTAAAAGCTTTTACCGCTCATCAGCTTAGTGTTATCAGTGATTGATGGCCCTACAATTATTGCTCTCACTGCGACGTTCGCGGCGATATGTAACATGTGCGGCATAATGGGCGCATTCGTCTTTTTTGCACATATGCGTGTATGTATGGGTGGGGACTTTAAAATGTTTTTGTTTTTTTTATTCTTTTTTATGTGTAACTTTAAATATGGGGGGGGGACTTACATTTTTTTTTTTTCCCACTAAACTTTATTGCTATCACATACGGGGGCTAATAAAAACCCCCTATGTCATAGCAAAATATGTGA